CCAGTACACGTCACCTAGTCACTTAACTCATCCAAGTCCCTAGTTGACCAATAAGGTACGTGCACTCACACATTTACTTCAGTTCATTAATAACATCAGACCGGTTCTGTGTCTATACACTTTCCGTCATACTTGACTTTGAAGACTGTTAGACCACCCAGCCCGATTCAAAACAAAGTTCATTAATTTGCGGTATGCCGTCACACTATGACATCGTAGCATGTTCAACTTGTGATATCTCCCATTTATCAGGACAAAACTTCATGCATTTGAAAGTCCTATTTCAAAGTATAGCTTTTACGTTTGCCTCTTCGCTTCCCAGCAAAACGTGCACTGCTTGGGTACATCTGTAATCATCGCTATGCTAACACGTAAAGCAAATGCAACTGCTTTCTCATTATATTTGATTTTGACATTTTGTTTGTAGATAGCAGTGGCTATTACATCTATCTGGAAACCTCAGGCAGGCGACAGGGTTACACAGCTGTGCTCCTTAGTCCCGTTTTCCCACACAAGAACAACCAACAGAGAGTGTGTGTGCATTTCTGGTACAACATGTATGGAAGCGCCATGGGTAAGTAGCACGAGAACATCTTCGCCACCTTATTGATTTACAGTATCTTTCACAATGGCTAGAGAAGGCCAACCATTGTTTATAATTTGAAAAAAAATATGAATACATAGATTTCAGCCACACAAGAAAAATGTGCCTTACTCATTCGCCCATGTTTTTGTAGGGCCCTTCTTTTCGTTATTACCGGATCAATCACTGATACAATCTAAAACAGTACCCACTATGAACCTAGTTGGGCTGGCTTGTCACCTTATGTCGATTTGGGTGTTTCAGCAAGGTCTTTCGGTCACATTCATCAGACTGGCATTTAAATGCGTTGTTGCGCCAGTTTTGAGGTTTGTTTGTTGATCTATGTGTTCAAGAGGGCCTGAAATCCACACCTCCCGACCTCTTTATTTGGACAGCCATTAATAAAAGTAGTTACATAAAAATAAAAGTGCACACACAAAAATAAAAGAAGTTACATAAGTCCCACTATCGATGTGTAAATTTTAATGTACTGTATAAGTTTGCAAAGTTGCTCCAAAATAATCCTTGTGGGCTATTGCTTGCCTATTCTCATCCCACTTCATTGGGTCGAATATCACATTTTATCTTAACCTTGATGTTTTGTTGTAATGCGTTGTTGCTGTCGAATGTCATTCCAGAAATATCCTGTTCACAGCACCTTCCGTAAATTTGTCAAACACAGACGTTAATAACTTTTCCAGAAATTACAGCATAACCACCATGAAACGATATACATGTAAGTAATACCGACAAAAATCTGATTGGCGCTTATCGATGTGCACCACAAGAATCTAAGAGCTTTTGAAATCGGGGGATAGTCCAAAGATTTTCTTTAGTTTAGGTATATTTTCCAGAGTAACATTCGTATTTCACAACCATCCATTTTTTCCAAATACAAATCTTACAGGCTATCTCAGAGTATACCGAGTACCAGTCAACCGGCACATTAATCAAGGCTCTTTGCTGCGCTCGTGGGGTGGACAACAAACGGACTACACAACTTGGCTTGAGGCCGAAGTGTGCACCACTTACGCCTCCTCAGATTTCAGAATCGCCTTCCAGGCAGTCCGGGGAAACGATTATCAGTCAGATATTGCCATTGATGACGTAGAGATATTTGGTACGTATACAAGTGTAAGTTTATTCGTTAAACCAGAGAAAAATATCATCGTCTTGCTCTTGTTGTTTGCTGTTACTATAAAACTTCATTGCCAGTAATTATATTGATCGTAAAAGTAGTATGGCAAACTAATTTATATCTTGCCTCACATATGTAAAATTTTCAACAGTAACATTTACGAGAGAAAAACGAATATCTGTGAAAACGATGAGAAACATTTGAAAACAAAGTAAAACAGAAAAAAAAGTGCCATGCCAGGTTGCCAATTAAAGGTTTTCTGGATCTTTTTAAGTATATCTTTCTGTTACTTTGATGTACTAAATATCAGAGAATTTGGTTCATTGGGTTGGTTAGGGTATCATGATTCAAAATGGTCACCTCGCAAATAAAGCCCGTATGTGGCGTTTGTCAACAGTGAAATAAAGATGCTATAAGGTTGTTAGGGTTGAAATTTGGCCTTGTTTTAATTTCACAGGATTCTCCCCTTGTTTCAGGACGTTTAAACAGCTCTGATTCCTAAATCTGTATATATATGCAAAGTCTTGAATGTGTGATGTAATGATGACGTCATTGGACATGAATTTACAAGCAATAGTAATTTAAGAGAGACCGACTTCTCTTAGCTTCATCTGTGACAAATGCAGGTACAAGTGTTCATATTTTCAAACCTGAAAGATCCTGAAACTGGTCGTATTTAGTTTATGGGTAAAGTCGTTTGACCTTTACTTCTGGATTAGGGAAAGGTAAAGTTTATGTATGCCGAAATATACTTAAAATTCAAAAATACAGATGTTACGTAAATTACAGAATTTGTAAGGTGATTGGGGGACTATTCTCCAATGGTAATTTCATGTTGTCTCGGAAAAGTAATCGACAATAACTTTGAACTTCACTGCATTTCTCAGTTTACTCTGCTATGTTGTCAGGGTGATTCGTGCCATATTCATCTTTTGTGATTGTTAAAGTCACTTAACGGGTAGATTACATACAAGAAAATGCCATGGCCAGTCTTGTTTAATGCTGATTTAGTACTCTGGCCTTTTATTCTCTTTCCTTTATGAATATAGTACTCCCAACAACCATCACATTGTCTGACCTGAATGGCGTGCTTCCATCCGCTGACGCTTTCTCGTACCTGATACAGGGGGTGGATTCTAACTTCACATGCCAGCTACCGGATATTGATCCTGCAAGTTCCTTCCAGTGGACTCTAGGTGGTCGAGTCTTAACTTCAACCAATGCCACGAATGTCCCTTCACCCAGAGCTGGACTGATCACCAGTATCAGTGTGGTGACAATCTCTCCGATGTGGAGTAACAACGGGGAGTCGCTACGGTGCCAGGCCTCCAATAAACATAACGATCCTGGTTTGAGCATCGACGTGACACTCTAGGTTAGAGGTAAAAGCCACAAATAGGTTTTCTAAAAAGAGACATCACAGATCTAAAACAACGCGCAGACTCTTTTCAAGGAAAAACTTAATCGAAAAGGCAACAGCCTGTATCATGGATAATAATAAATAATGAAATACACCGTCCAACGAACAAAAATGAAGAAATTCCCGTCTGAAGTTTCTGATTGCGTAATTCTAATTCTATGTGCGTTTTCCACTGTTCTCTTCTTAGAAAACACTTCACAATGATTCTAAAGATAAATAATGGCACCAATTTGGAATTTTCACAAACATATTTTAATCTAAAAGTTTCCACACATGTGACGTTATGATGTCATCATTGCATGGTCCTTTTTATTTTGAACAATTTCTCCAACCTGAATGTTCTGCATAATAGCCAGAAATGCTCAATAATATATCTATGAGACCTCGGTAACTCAAGCTAATAAACCACAGCAAATTTTTATGACGACATTTGCCTCTTCAAAAGCGTCAGGTTATGTTTAAAAACATGCAGTAGGGAAGAATTCATAGTCAACGGATTGTTGGCACTTTTTTAATTTAAAGTTCTACCGATAGAAATATCAATGTCTGAGTATAAAACATTTCCTATAAACATTTCCTATAAACATTTCCTATACCAAGGAAAAATCACATTTTGATTGAGGGACTGCAACGCACATTCTCTTACGAAGTACTGGATGTTAGGCCTGTAGCATCAATCACTTGGACCCTGGGTAGTCGTCCCAGTTAATTCAAGTGTCAACATAGGCAGTTCTGTGCCAAATGGACTGAGTACCCAGCGCAAGTTATATCAAACTCTTGCCAACGTGGGATAATCACAGAGAGGTACTGCAGTGCTCACCTTCCAACGTAGATGGCTTTCGAGCAGTGGCGTAGTTAGGATTTTACTGAGGGGGGCACAAAGGGGCACCAACATCTTATGGGGGGGGGGCACCAGCTTTCCGTGGTGTGTTTTTGTTAGCCTTGTTCAATATTCACTCCTCCGCTTTTTCAGTTGGGGCACATGGGGGCACCGGGAACTTTTTTTGGGGGGGGGCGTGCCCCCCCGTGGCTACGCCACCACTTTCGAGAAGTAAATGCTAGTATTACACGACCTTCATGAGAAAAAGTATTGCAATTCTACTACACGGCTACAAAAAGGAAAGGGTAGGTTAGTCTTGTCCCTTGGTGCAATAAAAGATTTAGCACATGGTACACAATAGTCGAGAATGGTTTGCTGGGGCTCCGTCCTGCATCCCAATATTTTCCTGATTCTAGTTGTGTGATCCCAACTAAAAATGGAGGGGAAGGGAAACGTTTAGGTATGATAGAAAGGAATGGGAAAGACCTACATTTCGGTAAACTTTAACCTTTAAAATTCAATTAGAGCATATAAGAGGAATTTTCCGTCACTGCTTCCAGACACAAATGCGAAGGATATGTAAGTTTCATGTGTTCCCAAACCACGATATTCTAAGTTTAAACACTCAAAGTGTGAGGGATAGCCCAATCAGCAACTGTTTTCAGTCTGGATTCAAGCTGGGATTCCTCCAATATAAAGCAAACAAAGCATCTCAACGCACGTTTATCAATGACTGACATATTTCTGACAGTTATATGAATCACATTTTCATTAACTTAAATGCCTACAGTACCACCACAGGAATCATCGTTATCCCTTCTGGACTCAGACGGATTTAGACTGACAGAATTAGTGGACATCAATGAGGGTACTTTATACACATTCACATGTGTGGTACGGGGTACCAGGCCAGCTGCCACCATTAAGTGGTTCCTGGGTGGAGTGCTGCAGGATACAGTCAGTCCCACAGAAGGCCAAGTGGACGAATTGGTCAACACTACTGGGAACTGGTCTCTGACACCAGCCAAAGAGAATCATGGGCAAGAGGTCAGGTGCACAGCCAGCACACCTGAGTCGGAGGAGCCATTTCCATCGGTGGTTGTTACTCTGAATGTCAGAGGTTAGTTAGACGAACGCATGCAGACTTTAAAAGCTCAGACTTTACCATCTTTGACTGGGGTTCGCTCAAGGGTTTTCCTCCATTTTCTAAATATAATTATGTTTTCTTCGCCTCTTATCAGCGTTTCGAATTGCAAATGCCATGCATATTGGGGTTTTGCCAATTCCGATTAGTCCATTTTCGAATATTCGACCTCAAATTTGATTGAATATCCGAATATTCGGTCGTACCAACCGGCAGATTGAACAAACCGTAGGCAAAATCAGTTGCAATGATACACACGATTGTATATTATAATCACTGTAATAGTTTCCCACTTGCAGGAGTATCTCCGGGCACGATTTAGCAAGATGTAGCAGACGAACAATACTCCTGTCCCTGTTGAAAGCTTCTATTCCTTTTTTAATTTTTAATGAGTAATTTGCTTTTTGAATCATAAGATACATTATTATGTCCATTTTCACTTGAGTCTGCCTTACAAACCTCAATCAGTGAGATTTTGCCATTTAAAACTAAAGAATTTCTCCTTTCCTTTTCATGTTTTTTGCATTCGAATATTCAAATTTGGAAAATTTGGAAAGTATTCGAATGTTCGAAATTAAATCGCATAATCGTATATTCAGATGTTGGGTACAGCCCTAATGCATATGCGTATCTAACCCCTGGTTCCAGCAACAAATATATGCTACTTAACTGATACACCACTCTATAATTCGGGCCAATAAACGGGGCATGAGACATTTCCGTGGGGGTCTAATATACGAAGTACACATTTTTGTTTCCTTGACGAAATTGGAAATCTTCTTTATCACCTTCCCTCTTTTCCAGGATTCCTGAAAATTAAAAAACTCACCTTTCTGTCCAGCTATTAGAGGGATTTGCAGTTCTTCTCTACAAACTAATGCATCATTGCTTAATTAATTTCCATTTTATTCTCAGGCTTTTTGCAATCATTTTTTCTCTGTTGGTATTCCTGGAGACAAGTGTCATGTGACTGTATTGGGCTTGTGGGACTAAATTTCCAAAATATTTCCATTATGCTGGATTTGGAAATCAAGGAAATATTACCCACTAATTTTGTGTGTATGTGTGTATGTATGAATGAATTAAAATGATTCGTACAAAATATTTGTGCTATTATAATAATATTTTTTCTTCCGTTTTGATTACCCAGTTCTTCCGAAACGTGTCGTCTTATTTGATTCTTTGGGTGGTCTCTCTTCCAATGCCACTACATACCTGGTCGCAGGAGTGGATTATTGGTTCACGTGCATGGTACGTGACATCAACCCACGAGCACTGTTCACCTGGACACTTGGTGATCAGGAGCTTCCATCCAGCAACGTCAGTGATATCACGGGCACCAATGGTTTGCTCACCAGTACCAGTCTGGTTACGATGTCACCTTTGTGGGCTAACCATGAAGAGTGGTTGAGGTGCCGGGCCACAAACAGAGAAGATCATGCAGGCAGTGACATAGCTGTAACGCTTGATGTGAAAGGTAAGGAGTCGTAATCTGGCAATGTGGGCTGCACGACTTTGGCCTCACCTGGGCCGGATTATTAAATGGGCCGTAGGTACTGCACTTAGGGTGTCCAAAAAATGAGGGCCTACCCAAAAACATTTCATAAAGAATATCCAGGTAAATCTAGTACAGGAGGAGTTTCACATTATCTAGTGTCAAATCAGGCCTTTTGCACCCAAGGTAAGTATGGCCGAAGATTTCGTTCCTTTTTTTTTTTTTACTTTGCTATAAGAAGTCATGAAAACATGATTTTTGAGACGCATCCGAGGCGACAATTGATCACAAAACTTCTTGTATACTATTTCTCAATAACTCAGTTCTGCCAACAGTTATATCTATTTACAAGAACACCACAAACGCCACCTACACAAGCGAGAAATCTCTTCTTATCGAGGGAGTGGAAAGCACATTTACTTGTGAAGTACCGAATGTTAGACCTGCGGCATCAATCACTTGGACCCTGGGTAGCCTTACCATTGAATCAACTGGCAACAAGGACCTCTTGGGAATAAATGGACTAACTACCAGCACAAGTTATGTCAAACTCTTGCCCTCGTGGGGGTATCACGGAGAGGTTCTGAAATGCTCAGCTTCCAACGTTGATGGATTTCGCGAGGTGAATGCCAGCGTTACACTTGATGTAAATGGTGAGTATCAAAAGAATTTCTGAGAAATTGAAATTGAAGGCGAGGTTAATTTAACATTTTTGAATATTGAGATTAGAAATAAAATCAATGAAATGAAATGAAATCCTATGACAAATTACTACCAGTCTATTCTGATGACATATTCAAATTTGTGATTAAACTTGCAAAACTGTACGAAAGTGTTTTAAGCCAACTTAATACGAAAAATATTGAAATGGAGGCTTGGAAACTACGGCAATTATAAACGAATCTAGTGATCGAATCTTGCTTTTCGTGTGTAAGGCATAGGAATGACCAATGATGAATGGGATAAAAGACGTTGGCATGGGCCCTGTCTCAGTTCATCCAGACCCTTGTTCTATTTCAGTAAACTATACTGCGAAAGGAAGGGAAAGCATGCGCTGAGAGGGTTGTTTTGACTAAGATAGACCTACATTTTCACAGTCTTCCTTTTGGATATTACATTGGATATATGGGATATATATATATTATATATATTATACATATTATATATATATATAACCCTCCATCACTTCTTCACATACAAGTATGAGGGAACTTTAAGTTGTTACAGTTGTTATAGTTAACTTATATCAAATGTTATTACCCTTAATTTATCCAGTACCACCGCAGAAATCGTCCATATCTCTGCTGGATTCTGAAGGATTCAAACTCAGGGATTCAGTGGACGTCGATGAGGGTATCACATACGCCTTTACGTGTGTGGTGCAGGTTACCAGGCCAGCTGCCACCATTGAGTGGTTCCTGGATGGAGTTCTGCAGGATACAGTCAGTCCCACAGATGGCCAAGTGGACGAATTGGTCAACACCACTGGGAACTGGTCTCTGACACCAGCCAAAGAGAATCATGGGCAAGAGGTCAGGTGCACAGCCAGCACACCAGAGTCGGAGGAGCCATTTCCAGGAAGGACGGTTAGTCTAAATGTTTTGGGTGAGTATCAACCATTATGGTTACATTCTAAAACCACTTTTGCACCATACATTGATTAGTATCGTAACTGCATTCAGCGTAATTAAAATCAAAGAGGCTTTTACAGCGAAAATTGGCATTTTAGTCATGCCAGTAATAATTGTACTATGCATCAACACGTTTAATAGGGTAACCAAGATGAATTCATGAGGAGGGACAGAGTAAAAAAGGGATCGTTTGAGCTCGTGTGAAAAATGGTTAGAAGGAAAGAATAGTATCATCCTTTAAATTGGACATTCTAACTTTGCACGACACGAAACCTTTCTGGATATTTTGATCTCCTCAGTTCTCCTTGGAAAGAGTCACTTTGGGGATAAAAGCTGCATCCTTCCCCAAAGGCTCTTCCTTATCCAAGAAATCAGCTTCATTTGAAATCAGTGCACTGGCTGCGCTAATTGTCAGCACAATTGTGTCATGTATTCTATCATCACTACGCATTAGCATCATCCTGCACTCCTGTCTCATTCTGTCTGCAAACAATTAGTCGGATCCTAGTTGCGAAGACGATTTGGGTATAGTCCCAAGTCTAAGGTAGCAATGAAAGAGTTCCATAAACAAATGTTCAACGGGGTGTTTGTGAATCCTCATTTAAAATCAGCATTCTCTTCCATCCTACATCTAATATCTCTGATGGGGGATTTAATAACAATTTCCATGTTTGTGTTAGTGCAGTCCTCAGAATTGCAGTATACATGTTATAAATAAGTTCAACTAAAGGCATTTACTTGTACATGTACTTGTCATTTCAATCAAGATTCATTTAAAGCAACGAAGCAAGAACTGAACTATCACACCCGAGAGGCGAGTAGGGGGTAAATCTCTGTGTATTGTGGAGGCGCCAGATTTCTGTCTCTTTGTTGTTCTTCGTTTTTGGAGTCACTTTTTCTAATTTCCATCGAGGGTTGACTGGGGCGAAAATCTCTTTTCATGTCGGCCATTATACCTCAAGTTCCACGGCCTGTGCTTCTGGGTCGACATTGTTAGACCCGTTGCTGTTTTTGAATATAACTCATGCGGAATGTGTAATTAATTTCGTGGAAGCATCCTGGGAAGTATTAGAGGGAAGTGGGTTTTAACAGCGTATGCCTTATATTCTTATTTCCAGTCTTGCCCAAGAGGGTTTTCCTATTTGATGCTTCGGGAACCCTCTCTTCCGCTAACACTGCATACCTCATAGCTGGAGTGGATCATTGGTTCGCGTGCATAGTACAGGATATCAACCCAGGAGCATGGTTCATATGGACACTGGGCGATCAGGAGCTTAACTCGAACAAGGTCCATGAAGTTGTGGATACCAACGGGCTGATCAACAGTACAGGCGTCCTCACAATTTTACCCACGGTGGTAAAGCACAGAGAGGTTTTACGGTGCCGTGCCATAAACAGGGAAGGTCACATGGGTAGTAGCGCAAGCGTGGTATTGGATGTAAAGGGTAAGAGAAACTTAACTTTCAGGTATACCTATTTGGCCTTCACACCAGAGTCTATCAGACGAGCATTTATTGGGCGCGACAATATTTTTCGGCTGAATACCCACACAACCATGGATTCCACGACTGAGAGAATAAAAACCAGCCCGATATCAGCACAGAACACGTGCTACTGGTAAACCACTCACTGCAAACAGTCATGCACGTGGTATATTTCCACGTGAACTGGAACCTATACACCGTACTGAAGATAGTCCAGGAACGTGGTAAACTCTCTATCATTAAGTGCTGATGGTGCACTAATAGCTGTCCTTGATATGAGATTTACACGGGCATGATCATATTCACTATTTTGAAAAAAGCTGCATCTTGGTCGTGACAGTTTAAATCATCCCTATACCGTATTGTTTCATTTGTTTACATCTATCCAGCCCGACAGAAGTCTGAGAATACTTTAAGTGCAGGTAAGTAGATCCTGCCTACGTACAACACACTTGATGACCACGTGTCTGAACAACTTCTTATTTTTTAGAGTCGATAATTGGTAGGTTCTTAATCATGCCTTGCAATTAGAAAGTCGAGTTTCGTTGATTTACTTTAGTGAAATAAACGATTTATAACAGTTTTAAAGGAAGTGAGCTAATATGATTATAAAGCATGACCATTCTTGATGTACTCGCATTAGTTGGTAGGAGAAGAAGGAAAGATGCCCTTTGGTATCTCTTCCCATTGCATGCTTAGGAGAAGTCTATATAGGCCTACCAAGCTTCCCACTAGCATGTGAACTGTTTAAGTTTATGTTTTGTGTTGTTTTGAAATTTTAGACGTTCAATCGATCAAATCCGGTCTAATCGTTGGCATTGTAATCGTTGGGGTTGCAACTGTCGTCAGCATCGTTATTATAGCTAGATGCATATACATCCGAAATTCAGCAGCCAACCTTACGCAGGGTGAGCTGGAATTTTTTTCATTATCATCATGTGAGGGGGACTTAGTTAAGGTAAAACCAGGTAAAATGGGGTTCACACCCAGCAGAATTTATAATTATGTGCACTGGTCAACAACTTTACTTGAAAGTGAATAAGTACATGCTTGTGTGAAAACGAGAGCGTCAAGAAACCTTCCTTACAGAAGCTTTTCATTGAATATAAACTGAGCTAGCAATGATCGGGTAGCTTCAACAGACCATGCGTATATAGGAGAGGATGGGCCACATTAGGCTGGATGTCCCGACAAAACTCTTTATCGGTATGCTTAAATGTTCTTTTGTGACCATTGGTTCAATTGACTCTATAAAAGAATTTGGCCCGATCCGCAAGAGTCAATTTATTATGGATTAAACATATTGCCCCAATCTTTATCACCGATCGACACATAGCTTTGTAACAAGAACTTTTTGAAGCGGTTTGGTACGCAAATGGAGATTTAATATGGAGAATTCTTATCACAGGAACATCACGTGTACATACGCAGAACGACAAATAACATTATTCTACCCTGTGTCAATCTTTCAGGACGCAAGGACGCAACACCTGAAGTGTAAGTACGGATTTGTATAGAATCAGTGAATTAATGAACTGGATAGAGGCAAGCTTATAATCATAGTTTATTCATTTTTATTTTCTCAGCGGACATTATTACAAACATATGGACTGGCAATGAGGTCACTAGTGCGCCTCTATGTCCCCAACTGTGACTGTGCCCCCTACTGTGACTGTGAGTGACCAAACAAGGGTCCTATTTCCCGAGGCCAAAGGCCTAAATCACGCACTGGCACCTGGATGCAAGACAGTTTAATCTTTTTTGATTGGCCAAGAGTCTGTGTGCACGCGGCTCGCCACAGGCCTGAGCCTGAGGGGACAGACTTTCAATAGCACTTCAAAACTTGAGAAAAAAAAATTGAAGGCTCATTTTAGTGTCCCTTGACACAGCCACTTTGGAGTTGCAAATCTCAACAAGGAAAAGAATTCTTAAAAGGTTTCAACTGTTTAAATAAGCCATTGCAACCTCCAGTGGGCACAATAACCAGTCAAAAACTTTCTACACAAGTACCTGACTGGACACCATTGATCTCCATTTATATTGGAGACCGATGCCGGGCACTTGCTCTGGAATTGATGCACATGCAGTGTCTAGGCGCCTGTCGAGTCACGCTGACGCCAAATTCACGTACTAGCCCATATTAGTGAACCACACGTGACCGTATTTCTCCCAGCTGAGATAAAGAACAAGGAAGAGGTGTGTTATAACAAATGTAAATACACGGTCAATTTGCACGTTATTGAATAGAGAGACTGAAGTATTTATTAATTACTGATATATATATATTTTTGGTATAGTTCCAACGACAAATATTGTTGGACGGCTGAGGTTTTGGGAACCTGGCCTTTCAAGCTTTAAAGATAATCACTCTTTTAACCTGACCAAAATGACGGCAAGATGTTACAAAAACTTCTTGACGCCTGGTGTGTGAAAAATATTGCAGCGATATTTGAGAAAATGTTGAGGATTTCTGCCCTCTATTCTCTTTGGATCACAAAGAAACATTTAGAAATGTTTTCGAGTTGAAACTGTCAGGTTTTTCCGAAATGTGCTTTGCATTCGTTACTGTAGATCTGTTGAGGATGAAGAAGAAAAAGATATCCCGACAGAAGGGAGTGGAAAAGCTGGTAAGTGCACAGGAAAAAGTTGACGTAATGACCTCCTTATGTCTTTATTGGCATAAGGACAAGAAATGTTACAGGACTTTATCAGGAAGTGGAACTCACTCACTGAAGGTAATTTTTCAAATGTTGAACGGGGGAGTGTCCTTTCACCCTAGTTTAGCAAATGGGCCGTGGGCATAAAAACTTGAGCGCTAATTTCCCATTCTTCGAGCAGAGAATTTTGACGCCGTCGTGGCCAAAGATCGTAGAGCGCTGCGTAGCGGCGCAAGATGGGGAACTTCACCATGAATACGCGTAAAACGTTGTTATCACATGGGCGCCATTCTGGTTGGACTGTGACTGCGCAGTGCATGTTAAGACACCCAAGGGCGCCCATGGAGATAACACCTTTATGGCCGAATTACCCATCTTGCGCCGCTACGCGGTGCTATATAATCTTTGGTAGTGGCTGCAGATATTTTGAATCCATGTGTGTGTTTGAAGAACATTCGAAATCAGATAGATTTAATGTGGAATAATGTATCTTAGATACAATGCGCCAGTACAACATACGCAAACGTCAGCGTATCCTTTGAATAAGACGCACGCGTAAAGAACAGTCATTGGTACTTGTTTATTTACATCCATAGCTGATTCTTTTAAAACAAATGTTTCCCTAACATTCAAGCAAGGTCGTCCAGCTTCGTATGCATGTCTTTCGGTGGCTGTCTTTCGATGAATAAGTTCAGCTGAATTAAAAAATCGTTAATTCAGTCAGTGTTAAGTGGGTTGACGGCTTTGGGGCAGGAGTTGCCGTGCCCATCGGGTTAGATAAAATCCGAATAAAAGAACGTCTCGGCAAAGTTCATGTGCAGGGCATACACGCTCTCGTTTGAGTCGAACAAAACAAACGCTCATTCACTGATTTTGCGTTCAGATTGTTTGCGTATCGGCTTTGTTGATGTATCTTTTAAAGGAACCAGGACATAGAAATAATTTTATAAACTTTACTAGCAACCCTGGAGATTGCATCTTTGGGTTTCAATTAACCTCATTTTATATTTTTGTTTCGCAATTTTAACCAATATTTGATGCTTTTTTGGTTTTATGCTAATGCTATTTGCATATTCATGAGCGGAACTATGATGTCATGCAAGGCACTGAATCTCAGTGTTGCTCTGATTTGTGCACAGAAAATTTCTAGATTTTGTTAGCCACTGCTATGGAAGACGCAGATATGTAAACAGCGATACAAAAGCCGTACACAATTTTCCACAGGTGTTTGCACAATCATGGATGCATCCAGCAGGAATCCTTTTGTACGTGGGCCGGTGCTCTAGTTTTTATATATAGCTCTACATCTGTAGGTCTCTCTCGACCACGTCATCCTACATCCCTACAGAATACCGAAGTGAATACGTCACGCGCACAATTAGAGTGTAAAAGGCATTAGCGCGAGAACCAGCGCGTGAACCAACGCGCGCGTACTCCATTCGTTTGCACTGCACTTTCTGGTTCATATTGACGTCACACTTCGGTACTCTATTGCCAGTTTCGACAGGCATTTTTTTTTCACTTCAAATTTTCGCTACGTCCATCAGCTGCGTCGTATTTTGAGGCCACGTGTGTGGATCAGAACGCAAGCGTGTAAAGAACATTTGCACACTGCGCGGACGCGCACGTGATGACGTTGAAAATACTGTACAGATACTGCCCCGATCTGAAGTGCACCCCCAATCGGCGAAAGAAAGACGGGTGGTTCTTGCAAGCGTTCTGCGAGTACGCAGAGACCATAGGGTAAGTTCAGGCGGCTCGTTCTCGTATGTTCACGAACAGTTCGATTTGTTGTTCGAGGGTCGACCGCTCGAACGCCAAGAACAAACAACATCCATGTACGTTATTGGAGAGTTAATGTTTGGATAACTGGGTTGAATTCTTTTCTATTTGAAGTGGAACATTCATTTCTGAAAAAAAAAATTATGTTCATTTTACAAAACTCCCCATTGTCTCCGGCTTTGTAAGCCATCTCTCTACTAACTTAGGTATGTTAAGCAGAATCCAGAACTACGTCGGACAAAGTAGCCGCACACACTTTTCATTAGCTTAGTTCTGCCAACTTTATAATACATATCCCATGACACCACTTTTAACAAATGTCTAAAAAGAGCTGCACGGATAATCCTCAAATGCACCTCTCACCCCCTCGGCAAATTTGTTTGCTACGCTGAATTGGGTACAGTTTTCCAAGAGAGTTAGATAAAAAAAAGACTTTTCTTGTTTTTAAATGTCTAGACAAATTGGTTCCTATGGATATGACAAATCTGTTTATGCCATTCACACAGACTCGTGAAACAAGATACTCAGTTAAAAAGGCACTTAAAGTCCTTTTAGCCAAAAGAGAAGGCTACGCTCAAAGTTTTGCGGTGAAAGATGAAACAATATGGAAAAATTTGCCAGATCAACTCGGAAGTATAGACTCCATAGGGACAGTCAAATCAGAACTACGGAACGCCATGACCAATGCCGTGTATTCCCAAATGCTGATCTATGGAGTTGTTAACTTGGTTGCCAATGTTCATTGGAGCCGGATCAGGAATTTCCCTATGTTCTTTTTCCCTATAGGTTTTTTGCGGGGTTTTCGCCCATCCCGTGATCATAATTTAATTAATGCCTTGATTATTTAAATGTTCACATGTGTATGATGTTTTAGTGGTTTGTATTTGTAAATATTAATGTTTTTCGTATTTATCAATTTTACTTTTAATCGTGAGTTTCTAACTATTTTGTTAATTTGTTATGATCGCTGGACCCCATTGGAAACCAGTTTGTAACTGTTTAGGCATACCCAGGGTAAAGAAATGGAATAAATAAACTAAGACTTAACACGGTCCATGCTGGACTTCTTAGCTTGATGATTTTTGAACTCCGTTAAATATAGATCGTTGTTGATCGATCGCCTTAGTTTGCTTTCCTTTTCTTTCTTTTTTCTAACCAGTTAATGTAATATTTCTTTTGGAACATGAGAACCACACGGAATTCTTTCTTACTTTCTTATTTTGAATAGACTGGTATCCTTTTGAACAATATTGGTTCTTTCAGCATTTTGGTCCGTTCTCAGCGATGTCCGATTTCGTAATCCCGTGATCCTTTTCAGTTTTTACACAGAGTCCATAGTTTGTTTGAACAGCTTCTAACAAAGATGTATGTCTAGAAGGAGTAAAGCTGGCCTTTTTAATTCAAACCTGAAAATGTGGGAAAGCCCCATTCTCTGTCAAGGTGGAATCTCTAGACTGTAAAACCTCCTGTGTCAGGTTGAGTCAGAATTGGGTCCCTCTCGGTGTGACCCTTTTCCGAGTCCAATTATGTCCCATAAAGGGTCAAATACGACCCGAAATCAATATGACCCGGGAGTTTGTAGGGTGTACATGTAGCCTACTTCAGAGTTATCTTGCACAAATGATCAGTTCAAATAGAATTCCCATGACATGTAACAAATTGTTCATTTTCAACGTAATAATGGGAAACCCATATCGCCCGATCATCTCATGTTACTTACACAAACACGCCCCGCCTACACTCTAAAAACGTCTGGGTCAGATTGACCCAGAATTGGGTCTCATTCGGTATAACCCTTTTCTGGGTCAAATTATTTGACCATTCTGGGTCAATCTGACCCGGATGATTTTAAAGTGTAGTTTCACAAAAAAAAATCTCTCTTCACAATTTCTTTCTGATATATCAAAATGAAGTTGACAAGAATATATCCATATCACATAATATACGCTTTTGCTCCGTTTCAGAAATTCCTATGCAAGTGATGACCTCTGATGAAGGGATAGAGCCAAGTGGTTGGATTGAGTGAAGCCTTTTCCTGTGCTCTGTCGATGAGTTGTTTTATGAATTGAATTCTCATTTTACCCTCATTTGTACCGTGATTCTCGTATCCAGTGGTTTGTATATATTTAGCCATGTTTACTGTTGGGGCTGGACCTTAACTGTACTCAGACGGAAGGCATCAGATTCCATTTTATGTCCTATTGCAGAACCATGTATTTTAAAAGCAAGGCAGTTGTTCCTGTGTTAAATTCACGTAATGCAATACGTTACGCGAATCATACAAATGCGTTTTAGAAAGAATCCATTGCACACTGCACATAAAATGATAGTGGTACAATGAACTGATGAAAGTATGATAAATAACGGTAAAAGAATGATAAATTCTATCCTTTTTCATTATTATGTATACATTATCTCGGGTCAGGAAAGTCCTATGAGATTTGCCATTCGAAGTTTCGTCTTAGCTATACTGTCAGCAACTTTGAACTCAACACAAGCAACTACGTATATATTAGAATCCTCCGTGTTTTCATCTTAGGATAAATCAAAGATCCTAAAAGATATACAAATATATGACCAGATCATCTTACAGAGTAAATTTGAAAGCCATATTGTCACTTTTCAATGTGCATTCGAAAGAACAAAGTAGTATTTATTTCATTTGTCAATTTGGTTTTGAGCGCCCATGGACTAACATTGTGCTAGGTTGTTATAAGAGGCCTTACACTCAAACGCACCTCTTACTGACAACTTTCAACTTAATTTGTTAAGTCACACATTGTCGTTAATTGGTCAACGTTATGAATACTGTAAAACCCTTTTACCATATAATTATGTACATGTAATATCTGTTTGTAATGTAGAATAGGCTTTGTAAAGACCAGTTTTCCTTATAAATATAGAAAATGCCAAACCACGTGGAAATGCAATTAGGCAGTTTCCAAAGATGTTAACTGCATGTGATATGCCACAGTGCTCCAAAGATCTTTAAAGGGACCACGAGGTGTTGCACTATTACTTTTTGCAACTGTATACTCTTCTCTTATAATCAATGTATGAAAACTATTACGTCACGCATTCCATTTGCTACTGTATCGAAGGCAGACTGAGACTAGATTGTAGATCTAAATGTGCCCATCACAGTTGAAATAGTTGTTAATCTGTCATCAAATAGTCCATGAAAATTACGTATTTCTATTCAAAAATGCATGCTAAGCTGTTACAAGACAGTCTTGAGTAATACTTATTTTGTATTTAGTTGAATTTGACCCGATTATAAAGAGCAACAAAATGTCCTGGGTAAAAAACAAATTATGATAAAACAGTAAGTTCGAATTTACTTGATGCAAAACCAGTTGTGAAAATACTCGGAATAAATATTGCATTTGAACCTTTCGACTGAGTAAATTTTGCTCTAAATTGTTGGGTGTTCTTATTTCACTTGACCTGGGCTGATTTTCAGTTTGAAAAGTTTGTATATGGCCTATTACAATCATTTCAGTAGCTGAATTTTCAATAGTTACAACTTACAGCAAAGTCTCCTGAGTCCAGGCAGAGTTTGGGTCTCCACCATTCGTTTCTGTGCTGTCCTCTCTCAAGATCATAACAAAGCACTAGCATTCCTCTCTCACCTGAATACGCAGTCTGCACAAGACTTCTCTCTGTGGTGTTGGTTTCCAAGGAATACTTGGTGCCCCCTCTTGGGTACTGGGATTTAGTATTCACCCATAGATCTGTTTAAGTCAAAGGCATCAGCAGCCCAATTTTAAAGCGCACGGTCGCATAATCACTAACAACAAAATGAACATTTCCCACCAACATGGGGCAAATTCGGGCGCCAACTAGAACTACACCGGTAGCATAGTTCGACCAGTAGTCAGTTCGACCATTAGTCAATTGCTTTTTTAACAATATGTTTGTGGAATTCTGTTACACTAGAACCACCCGAGTCGGTCTATTTTTGAAATATCATTGTTACTCACATTTCACCGTTGGTTTCATGCGATTCTATTCTCGCAAAATACATGGTATCTGAAATCTTGGGCAATACGGGCCATTCATTATAGTGCGCCTCCAAGAGTTTGCCACGCGTTGGCCAATCACAATGCGCGAAATCTGTTGACCCTTTTTGAATGCGCACTGGGTCGACAAAATGAAACTGCTTCTTAACCAGCGGTGAGACCGTGGCCTGGGGCTTGCTCCCAAATGGTCGACTATAGACCAAACAATTCATCGTTCGGGCGGTGTTACAGGGGCCTTCCCAAATGCGGGTAAACACTTGCGCCAAACGCTTCGTATCCATCAAAATCGCTCCTTCTAAACTGGGCACACCCTCATCCCCCTACGGACGAATAAAGCCGGTTCATACTACAGGCGAATGTGAAACCGAAGCGAATTTGACGTCACGAGATTCGTTTTAACAGCTGGTGACTTGATTTCAAACTTGTGGTCTATGTAGGCCTACGAGGTCTCGACAGCAGTACTGCGATTAAGATACCAACTTAAAAAGGAAATGAAAGATGAGAAAATTAGCTTTGATTTAACACATGTAGGCCTACATCGAACACCTGAGAATCATGAGTATTTTTTCCTGATATTTTTAAGTGGGGGTAGTTTTTCTGTTCTCAACAGCTTATCTGCGATCTTAAAAGATTAAGAGTACGACCCTCAAGGCACACCCCGAAACTGATTGGCTCAATATTTTGGACAGCGCCTCCACAATTGACCAATGGTTTCCCCTCAGTACGAAGGGGACCAGTGACTTGTGCAGGGCACGCTTCTGTTAAGATTGTATCAATGAACACTTGGCTGGTTCCCGAACTTTCCGCAGGTTATGGCAGATTCCTGTATATCGATCACTAAGAATGATACCACAGAGAATCGATTTACATCTCCAGACTCGACAAAGAGATGTCCAGTCTATATTGATTTTAATGGGACTTAATTAAGTCTGACAGTGGCGGGCAACTTCAGTTTTGCCCCACGCTGCTCCACCCCCTCCGGTAGGCCGGGAAAAGCGAAAGATAAACTTGAACAGAAACGGCTGTATGACCAACCCATCGTTGTGTACCCTTCTCCAGTAAATGACCCCAGGTAAATTCCTGTCAACTGGACCCGAGGGCCGCTAACCAGGTACGCGGGTCGGATTTAAAAGGCCAGTGGGTGGGCGGATTTAAAAGGCCAGTGGGTGGGCGGATTTACTGTGAGTTTTTCGAGGGCACAGAAACAAGTAAACAGCGGGTTGTTTTTGGTCAGTCCAAATTTAACAGGGGACACCATGCATGTGTGCCGGTACGTGGGGCGGGCATCTTCATTAGAGCAGTGGGGATTAACATTTCCCCTCCCTTTTCGCTAAATGAGTGCGCCGTTCATCAGAACCATCCTCCACCATTCCCTTTACGGTCTTGCAGGACTGGACAAAATGAGACGTATTAAAATAAGTGTTACCGATTCCCTCACATCAGTGGCACGTGACCTTGCTCAGGAAAATTATCGACTCTCACTAGTGCGAATTTTCGAACTAAAGTATTCGATTAAATTAGTTTCACTCTCGAGCGAGGCGAGCAAGAGTCCAGCAGCCAGCAAGCTCATCGTCAACGCGAGATTAGACTAGACGTGCGCTTACGTGGACATATCGCGATCGTTGCTGGTGTGGGACACGTGTACATGTTGTATGATGGTGATCCAAATACACTGTACATGAAATTTTTACGGCGTGTATTACGATAACGTGATCCATGTTCTGAGCCTAGCCACAGAGAACTGTCAGAGGTATGTATTTCACGTGATCGATGATAGGCAGTTTCTTGAAGATGTAATCTTGGACTGACAGGTGTGATACACTATTTACTCGGCAGTGCTGTAGTCGAGACCATCACAAGACTGACCGATGTAATGGAGGAACAAGAACACATGACATGCATGACAACTTTAGCCAAAGGAATGTTTTTGTTGCAGTTTATTTGAATAGCTTGCGACTTGAATTCAATTCAGTTTGGAGATCTTGTGTTGGTCTTGTGCAGGTCTTACAGTACGTGGTCTCGACTACTACTTAGTTTAGTGTTACTCGATCATGTCGATTGTCTCCATGGTCTCGGTACAGCTGCAACTCGGCTAACGTAAAATTTTGCCCAGTCATGCCAGTGGCCAGACCGTGACATGCCTCGATGGTCAGCAGTGTGGACCATATGGTGCACACACGTAGACGTTTCCCTTGCTGATGCAGTGTTGCCAAACCTCAGACTCCAAATTTAACATTAACAGCGGTAGTAATCATAATGCATGCTAATTGAAGCTTTTTTTAGCAATTTTGGTGTCATGAAATTTAGTGCGGAATTCACAGATGGTGGCCTCTGGAAATTGGGCAATATGTAAACCTTCCTGACATATCTTTTCGGTGTGAATAACGCATTGACAAGGCATTAATGTACAACCCTATGGAAGTTACATGTAGTGTAGGCCTACATGTACAGATCTTGCAAGACATACATGTATGAGTCAGTTTTCATTGGGCCGATTAAAATTAATTCCTCGTTTATCATCACTCAGTGTTGTATTTTTGAGCTGGGGGGACCTTTGATCTTTGATATTTGATAGTTGATATTTCAAGTCGGTATTTTCGAGACTTTTCTAAATATACCTTCTTGTACCCTATTTTAATGCTGGAGTGTTCCATATCATAAGAGCGTAATCAAATCAATCAATCATGGTTGAGGGCAAGACTAGAGAATTAAAAAAAACGCATGACCCTTTTTGTGATGCAGACACATCTACAAGGCTGAAAAGGGCTTGAAATTAAGTTGGAAATGTCAAATAGCAAAAAAAGTTCGGGCGGTAGGGAAAACCCGCTCCAGATGGCATTGACAATAAACAAGGCCTTCTATTACATGTATGTACATGAACATTCTCCAATTTAAACCACAGTGTCCTTTTCAGATAGTTTTGCATGGTACTTATGGGATGGAAGTACATGTACATGTAGGCCTACCTAGCATTACACAACATACATTACAAAACTCAAATTGTGAAGCTCACCAGAGAGAGAAATTCCGGAAAATTCCTTCCAAGAACACAATTTTTCTGTCATGGACTAAGATCATGAATATTAATGAGTTACATGTATGTAGTTTTGGCCAAGCAGAAGCATCAAGACTAACTGGCATGGGTATGTACATATAATTTGTTCATGGGCTGTTTAACACCAATCTAAGACAGTGATATACATGTATAATGTACGATATATGTACATTGTGCTTTTGCTGTTGAAATACATGTACCAAACTTGCTCATTTAGGTTCAAGCATTGTTTGTGAATATCAAAAATGCACCAAAAACTTCAGTTTTTAACTACATCTTCTCTTTCAGTTATTTCCGAATAACATTATATCCGTATAAGTGACATTGCAGAATTTCTTTGGGGAGAAAAAAAACTTGTATGCTCTGGGATTTCTAGCAAAATTGACATTTGCTGTTATTATGACATGCCTTTTTTTGTAGACAATCATCCACAGAAAACGCTACAGTCGCTATTCGCCTCCGGCAGTGTGTTTGGTTTTTTAGCCTTCCCGTGTATCAACAAGCAGTCATGCCCACTGGTAGTAATGACAACGGATGGATTGCGCCCGATCTACCATCACGCTGCACCTGGCATCTGGAAGTCGATCCCAAGACAAGTCCACACAATCATCAGTCCAATGCGTAAGTTTATGGTGACCAGGACAAGTGGAGTTCATTCAAACATGCACATGTAATCATGCCCTTTTTTTCCATTGCGGTTTCAAAGAGAGTGTGACCCTACAGTGCCTCTGGCATTGTCTGGTGTGACAATGTGCCACATTTTCACCCACCATCACGTGCCAGTTGCTTACATCTTTGCTGTTTACCAGGCATGCACATGAAAATCCACACTCAAGTTACCGGTAGATATGCAAGTGGGAGTGAAATCTGAGGAAGGCTGTGTCCGAAACAGGCTTCCATAGCTACGGCTACGGTACGTCTAGTGGAGCATCTCCACTACCTGGTATTTTCAATGGAGTGAAGACCTAGACCTAGCGATAGCTCAAGACAACAGATTCAGATAAAGCCTAAGTTGTAGTGGAGCAGTTCCCTGGGTGAAGCCCACATTGGGGAGCTTTGCCCCCATTAACATGTGCACATGAAATAGGGCAGGATTAATGTTTCTGACGCCTGAAATTGTGCTGGCTGTTGTCTGTGCACATGTGTAAGAAGTGTGGTAAAGCTTTATAAAATTTGGTTTGTAAATATCAGGGTTACAGTCACTATGACCTCCCCTCATTGGAGCTTGGGAACTGGTACCATCGATTTATAAATAGTCAACTTCCAGTACTTTTGGAAGATAAGATAACTGCAATGTCATGTACATTGCACCTTCAATTTAAATATCATCCTGCAGTCCACTTACTATCCCTCCCAGGTCAGAACCATATATATGTACAGTGATGGAAATGGCTGGATTCGCATTGCAAAATGCGATACATTCTGCGCAGAAAGCGAGGCAAACATGAAACTGATGTGCAGTTTTTGTGATTGGAAATTTCTTTTTTAAGTCATGCATGCGGCGAGCTCGCGGCGGGGATCGGAAACCAGCCCCACGTTGAAAAATGGCAGATAGATGTGCCATGGCTGAAACAAAAGAATCAGTCGGAAGAAATTGTCCTTTACTGTGAGTTGTGTAGCTTGCAAGAGGCCAAAACCAAAGCCGTTTGAGATTCTGCAGAACATTTGTCAGATCTCAATAAAGCACCGACACTTACAGTGACTGCTGATTAGTGCAATGTGTAGTGAGGTACATGTATCCCATTTCCCTTTCTTGTTTAATAGTTTAAAAATGTTTAAGTCACCAACCGATCTAGGTCAAATGTAGAATATCCCAGGAGCTAAAATGGCACCCCAAAAAATCATGAGTAGGGACTCGCTGACAGCGGGTGTTTTGTTTATTTTCCCCTTGATTCTGTAAAAAAATTGCTTCTCCACCCAATTTTTGGCCAGAACCACAACCAACAACCATGCTATACCACACCTGTGTGTTGTTTCATTGTGTAGCCTTGGTGTACACATACATGTATTAAAACTGTATACCATGGTACTGAATTACGCCCATTTATTTTTTGCCAGCCAATTTCATCATAAGGCTAATCAAATGGCATTATGATCAGCAAATTTGCTAATCAATTTTATTTTCTTGGTCACCGTTCTGTTCACACCTGCTTCGATTTCCCCTGATTTGAAATTCCCATCCACTTGTGGTGAGATACATTTTATTGGTAAAATCATTTTGTGAATTTGGTTATTTGAGCAGTTGATTTTTTTCTGCCCGTATTCCAATTGTCCCCCAAATTGCTGTTCATATTGTCTTTAAGACGGCTGACAGTGCATTCCTGCAACCCTGTCAATTGACCCCAAAAAATGTGTGGGGGTGTGGGAGGGGGGGTTGGGTCTAATTCCTGACAACCTTGCCCATTGCAGACTTGTCGACTGATGTATCAGCAGTTTTAACATTTTTGTGTTTAAAAAGTTTAACAAAAATAAATAGCAGTGAGGGAACAGAAAAAGGTACAGGTACAGGTACATGTGATGTCACATTTTATCTCTTTGGTCCAGAACAAGAAACAAACAGTCTTATTGATTTCCAACTGTTTGTGCCACAGTACACACATGCTGTAGAATGGATACCATCCAGCTGTTGTTGATTAAATCCCCACCCACTGCAATAGCCAATAATTATTGATTCATTTGTGCTGGAAAACAGATCATTCCCAACATTTTATCAAGTTCAGACCAGATACATGTAAACTGTACATGTTGTAAACATTTTCCCAGATGCCACTTTACCTGTTTTTTACAAATCCCCCTCGGAATTTTTTTTTTCCCTCTGGCTTTAGAAAGGCTGGGGGGGGGTTGAAGAATGGCTTAATTTTCATGACTTGCATAGATCTTTGAAAATGGTGTACAAATAGCAGCAGGGTGAAGAAGACACACAGAGTTCATGCAAAGAAAGAGATCCACGAGAAAATCAGTGGCAAGGAAAATGCTCCGAGCTAGTGTATGAGGATATTGGCAGTTTGAGAGCTGGCATGCTACAGTAGTACTACTGTACATGTGTACGTGTACAGCCTGGTATAGGTACATACATTGTACATTACCGGTCTTCTAACAGTACACGGACTTGTCACTTATGAATGTCCAATCAATATTCCTCCGCACACATCAACAGCATTGACACTAAAGTATAGACCTACAGTACTATGGTTAATGCCTTTCCTTTTTAAAAGGTAATAACCAGGTGATAACTCAACAGGTTTCAGGTTGAATATTTGAAAAGCTTTACTTCACTTGCATTCAGTGAAAGTTTCTATGATTTTTCTGATGTCATGGTGACAGCAGTGCTGTGTAAATAAAAATCTACACATGTAGCAGCTGGCACCCCGGTTGCTATTCACCCTTGGCTACCGGTACATATATGTTAAGTCGTGCTTTGTTGCCATTTGTCACAACTCAATAAATTTCAACTGTTCACAAGTGCACCCTTTGGCATACTGTGTACCTGTACCTGATTCATAAAGGCACCATACAATATGTACATGTACAGGAGTATGTAAAATGACGTGCTGCTACAGCAGGTAACAGTTGGTACTTCTCACTTAAAAATGCTATTATTTCTTTTCCTGGAATTAGGGGTCCATTTTGTTTCCTGTCCCTGTCACATCTGACAACTGATTTTGTAAGTTCAGGACACATTTTCTAGTTTCCAAGAATGATGAATTGCAGGTACATATAATACAAATTACCGGTACAAGTACCTGCCAAACAAATCATAATAGTTTGATTTCAATTCCAGTGATATTTCCGTGTCAAATAACAAAGGTCAAATGTAATAGGGACACGAAAATGTCACACTTTTGAACCCTGGAATTACCCACATGTATGTAGGTGAAATGTATATGTACATGTATGTGCGATGTATTGAGTTTGTGTGTAGCGGTGATGACACTTTCATTTCTGGTTTTGTTCCTGTTCTGTATTATTTCAAGTTCCTTCAGTTGAACTGAAATGGCCGCCTCGCACTTGAATACACTTGGTAGTTGAACCCCTGAGGTGATCTATGATCCTTGAAAATAATTCTTACCTGTCTCTCCTTTTTTTCTGTCAAAGATCTCTTGGCGGTTTGCCCATAAACCACCCGTTCGTACTATAGAATCAGATAGCAATGCCTTCAGAGTGTGGCTTGCCAACTGACTACATGTACATTGTAATCCCTTCATAGAACTCAGTCCTGCCGTACATGTACATCTAATTTCTGGCATACATGTACAAGTACTTGTTGTACATGTACATGTACACTGTACAAATTCAATGTACATACTTTCTAGCATTCAGACTGAAAAATGCTCGATTTAATACTGCTCCCTTTTTTCTCTTTTTCTGTTTTTTTTTTTTCTATCCCGCCTCCCCCTCTCCACTTATTGAAGGCAGATGAAGAATGGTCATTTCAGCCCCCGCACTACCGGTACATGTGGTCCTGAAATGAGACTATCAGTGCAGTTAGTTGTGGCACAGTTATAAAAATAGAAAAAAAAAGTTACATGTACAATACCGTTAAACCTGGACAAGGAAGCATAGTGCGTTGTTCTCCTAGTGTGGATACCAGACTCAATGTTTCTGACTTATCTATGAATCAAGGGTCTGGTATCACCCATCCAACGTCCACATGACCAAGACTGGAGGAATTATTGTCTGGAAATAGCAGAAATATTCCAAAGTTGTCCCATGTACCGGTATATTCAGCATGTTCAGATGGTACCGTTGATTTTCGGTTATTCCCGGCCGGGTACCGGTAGGTAGGCTAGCTGTTGAACATAAACTCCCGTATCCCAACGGCAGCTGTTGATCCTACAATATTTGACTTTACACTAAAATTGAATGTCGCCTTGGCCGAAATCAATGCCTGGCAAAATTTATGAAGAATATACATGTACTTTCTTTGACCAATGTGGCTTTGTGCCTGAAACATGCTCTCAGTGGGGCTGCACTTGCAGTATTGCCCACTGGATACGGGAAAAGCCTCATTTTTGAGATGTTGCCACTGATGAAATCGAAAACACCGGGGCTATAAACTAGTGACCCCTGACCCTTGCGTCATATCTGTTTACATGTATATCAGTGGGTGATGACTGATCTAAGATTTTTTTAACAAGAGTTGTCAGGGAATCTTTGGGCAGGGAGCCAGACTATTGGTCTCCCTCGGGAAAAATTGGCAGTGATCCAAACATTCACCAGTGCATGCATGTTCATGTAAGTTTGGCCTCCATGAACTCTATGACTTCAAGTCATCTCTGCAGTGATCACGTCTCACTTCACAGACCTGTCCCAAACATGTACAGTACATTGGTCATGTACATTGCCTACATGAACATATCTTCATTGATTCATACCGGTACTATGAGCAGTACCAATATGCGTCATTCTGGACACTTTATCACTGGGCGTGTCTGTGCATGATCTTCCACGTGTCAGAAGTGGCTGAATGGCATGTTTCCTCTAGAAAGTCTCGAGACACATCAAAAGATACATGTATGTAATGTACATACATGTACATTGTGTTTTGAGAATGTATAATGTACATGTACATGTATGTAGTGGTACATATATATGTACATGTACGTGTACCTTACACATTGTCAGTCATTGGTACAATGTACAGGTACATGTACACTGTACATGATGTTTTCCCTTGAAAACATTGGGGGAAAGCTGTGGGGAAAAGTGTAAAAATTATTTTTGTTTTACAAGTAGTGAGTAAAGCACATGTGCCTCTCTGGCTGTCAGTAAATGGTGCGTAGTACTATACACATGCATGTGTGACATACATGTACGTGTGTACCAGTGCATGTGCAGTGCATGTACAAATGAATCCACTGGAATACTTTTCTTGGAAGCAAGGGTTTCCTTGCTGTACATGTACATGTAACTAAACTCTTCTTTCAAAGTTCTCGCAGACTTTCTTAGAGTTGCATCGTCAAATTCCGTGACATCTTAGTGTTCCCTTTTTTGCCAATTGGCTTCGTTTTTTTTGTATTAGGGAGCTGCTCGAAGCTCGGAAGACAATTCTGCCCAATGTCCTGAAGATGATCGGTCACACACCCTTGGTGCGGATCAACAACATTGGCAAGAGTGCTGGGCTGAAATGTGAACTAGGTAAGTGAAAGGTTGAGCTTAACCCTAACCCCCTAGGCTCCTGCGCTAGAAAGCATCCTGAACCTCACAAAATCCAACAGGTTCATGTACTTGTCTATGTACTTGTACATGCAGGGTAGTGTACCAAACCTGATGAACTCCAAC